CTCTAAACAGAAATTCTCTATATTCATATTTTACAAGTTCTTCCTCCTGGGATTTAGAAGTTGCACTATGAATAGTAGTGACTCTTACTCACAGTTTCTCTAGGATATGCAGTCAGCCATCATCGACATAGCTGATATAGGGAACTGTGTTCAAAACATTAAACACAATCTAAGCCTCTGCAAAGTTTTGCTTATGAATTAACAGTCTTTCCATTTACTCTTCATTACCAGGACAAACAGAGGAGCTATTTGGCCATATATTGTAATAATAAAATCGAATCCCCTTAAGAGAAAGGTAAACAAAAGGGAAGCACTCATCCATTATGTCTAGTTGCTCTGTGACTCTTACGAGAAGCTGGGAGACAATCCCATTAGCTCACCATAACATGGAACTTGGTCTCACAAGTTCTTGGATACAATAGTTGAATTTTGCCTCAAAGGTTCAATTGATGTATTAGGAGAATAGGTTTCTCTCAACTGTGGATCTGACCTGGTGTTTTCTCCTACTCTCGGTTGAATCGTATGACAAGACAGAGGCAGAGAAGGACACAGAGCCTTCCACTGTAGGCCAGCAGCGTCACAATGCCCATGTCCCAGTGGATGAAATAGCAAAGCCTAGCAAGGTCAACTGCAGGTGCATCGAGGGATCAACAGACTGGGCAGCTTTCTCCCAGGCACTCTTGGACAAGGGAGTGGCTTGTGCAAGATCTAGTGAAGAGAGAGTGGAGAGTGAGAGGGAGAGACAGGGAGAGAGAGGGGCAGCCAAGGAGGACTCCACTACAGAGGAAGTGTGTGTATGTGATCAGCCCACACTCACGATGTGTGAAAATGCCACAGAAAACCTCTTAAGGTGCATACTGATTAAGAATAAAATAAAACATAAGACATAAAAAGATAAAATAATGCCCCAATAATCTTAATAGAAAAAACAATAAAATAACAAATATTAAGTGTCTCTATATAATTATATAATACATCATATAACACATAATATGATATAAAATCTGAAATAAAATAAAAGTAAATTTATAAGAAGAAAACCCTCACCAATCATGAGATAGATGCAGGCTCAGGAGCAAAACCCTTGACTTCCTCATCAGTGTGACAGAGAGGAACAGCCTGGAACCAGCCTGGAGACTGACAGGAATGCATGTCCACAGGGACCCTGGGATAATTGGCTCTCCAGAAATGTGGAGAGAAGGTCAGGACTTCCCAGAGGATGCCTACCTCAACAAAGCCCAGCCTCCTTATGCATCAGGGGCCAGTTCCTCTCCAGAGAGCCATTATCCTACTTCTTAGTTGTTTTTTTGTAAAGAAGTAAAACTTTATTGTTAAGTCAAAACTTCTTCTATAACTCCCTACTGCTATTTCCTCCTCTTCTTCAGATGACTAGCATATACTTGATCTTTATTATTCTCATAAATACTTACATTTTTGCTCCATATTTGAATTTGTAAATGATACACATCATTAGATTGCCGTTTGCTCATTTTCATTACCATTAATTACCATTATATTTTTTAAAGGTTTTTTTTTTTTTTTTTTTTTTTTTTTTTGAGGCAGGGTTTCTCTGTGTAGCTCTAACTGTCCTGGAACTCACTTTGTAGACCAGGATGTCCTCAAACTCCTTAAAATCTGTGTGCCTCTGCCTCCTGAGTGATGGGATTGAAGGCCTGCACCACCACACCCCCTCTTAGATTTTTTAAAATTAGATTTATTCATTTTATGTGTGAGTGCTTTGTCTATATGTGTGTATGTGCACCACTTTTGTGACTGGTGCCTGCTGAGGTCAAAAGGGGGCATCAGATCCCCTGGATCTAGAATTATAGATGACCGTGGGCCAATATGTGGGTGTTGGGAATTGAACCCAGGTCTTCTGCATGAGCAACAAGTGGTTTTCACAGCTGAGCCAGGCCCCACAACTGTGTTTTTGATTTTTGTTCATATTGACACAAACAGTTCTAGTTTATTCAGACCATTGCATAGTGTTGTTATAGTCAAGAGGTCATAGCTTACTTGCTCAGTTTCCTATTGACCAGCAGTCATGTGACATCCTATTACTTACTTTCACCATTGAGGTTGTACTGGACATCTGTATCTTCTGTATATGTCTCAAACTCCAACACTCTTTATGTCAAAGAGTAAAAAAGGGTTCTTGATTTTTCTACATTTTGTGTCATTATAGCACACTATTAAAAGGAAATTATTTGAAAAATATTATTGAGCCTTTATAATATGTCAAGATGCAGTAAGTAAGAGAGACAGAATTTCTGCTGTTTGAGGTCTTATATTTAGAGATGAGAACAAGTTTTGAGATGAGAAAAAAACCAAAATCTGGTAAGCTAACTTCAGAGAATACTGAATGCTACAGAGTGAATAATGGCATTTGTTCTGATTCAAGATCTCCCTTGGTTTCTATTCCACCTGGGATTGAATAGAACCACTTTGCCTGGCTGTAAGGCTTGGCACCATTAGCCCTTGCCTCTGTCTGTTATTTTCTCTAGAAAATTTCTATCACCTTGACCTTGAAGTCTTTGGACTAAGTTATTTATTTATTTTTTCTGCTTCACCACTTTCAAAATGGTGTTCTGGCTGCACAGAAAGTTCTTTTCACTCCTCCTTGCCGGTCTCATGCATCGCATCATTTCCCTCAGTGTCACTTACCCCAGTGGGTGATGATGCATGATGACGATGCATCTGCCTGGCCTGCTCGCTGGCAAGATTGTGAGATGGGCCTGCTGCTGCTGCTCTCTGTACCCCCAGCCCACACCCTGACACATAGGTGGTCCTTAGTGAATTTTATAAGATCAGCACAAACGAATGTGCTTCTCAGAGTTTGCCTACAAGTTCACTTTGGTATTGGAAATGTCACATATTCCAGTCAGAGAGCCAGCCTGTGTCAGTCACAGTGTGTGCTTGTTGGTTTTTATCAGTGTGACTTGGCTTTTTGTGGCATGCTGGGGATCGAACTCATATCTTCATGATTGTGTAGCAAGGGTTTTACCAAATGAGCCGTCCCCAGCTCCATTTGCTTAGTTTTCTTTTCTTAAATGATATGATTCATGCTATCTGTTTGCCATGAATACCCCATGTTCTTAGTGCTATGTATCCTACCCAAGGCATTATGTCAGGAAATGACAATGTTATTTTGGCTCATCCATGGTTATGCTAAATTTAATTACTTGTCTAAGATGGAATCTGCCGGATGTCCTCATTATGGAGAACATATTATCATTATCATTAATAAATGCTGTAGTGTGGCATTTGAGGACCATGTAAATCCCTGCTTAGCATCCTTCACCTAATGGTCTTGGTGGTCATTGATGACCCTTGCTTGTGACAATTGTTTTCCTGGTAGTTGGGAAAAGATACTATATAACACACCTAGTTATCCTACATCTCCTTGATGGGAGATGTCATTCTGTATATGTTCCTCATACTGGTTAATAATAAAGCACTGTTGGCCAATAGGAAAGGAAGATAGGAGGGACTAGGAGACAAGGAGGAAATAGGAAGTAGGAAGGAGGAGTCAAGATGGAGAGTCTGGAGAAAGCAGTATGCCGCCGGCTCCCCGGTAAGAGAAATACTTAAGACAGAGCTAGCCGATAAGAAACAAGTAACCGGGCCAACAGTATTGTACCAAATACAAAGTCTCTGTGTATTATTTGGGGCTGGCGGCATGGCGGCGGGACAAGACCAGCGGCAGCGGGTGGAAAAACCGTACTCCTTACATCTCCTAGCTGGAATTCTTTTTTAACCCCTCCCCACCTTATTCATTTTTGGGACTATGTATGCATAGAATGGATGCATAGATTTTTTCCTCAATAATTTAAATAAAAAATAAAGTACTTCTTTCTTGAACATTTCAACAGTTTAAAAAAAAACATATTTGCTACATTGTTTTCTCAACAATATATTTATATCCAGTTATCACTGGGAAATGACATACTTTGTTTTTTAAAGCTTATTTATTTATTCGTTTATATTACATACCAACCCCAGTTCTGCCTCCCTCCCCTCCTCTCACTGTCCCTACCCTCTCTCCCCACCCATCTGCTCCTCAGAGGGTAAGGCCTCCCATAGGGAGTCCAGGAAGTCCATCTTATCACCATGTTGAGGCAGGACAATCCTCCTACCCTATCCCCTCTCCCTTTCCCGGTCTAGGCTGAGCAAGGTCTCTCTTCAAAGGAAATGTGCTAGGGATTGATCCTGGCCCCACTGCCGATGGCCACACAAAGTGCTCAAGCCATCCACTGTCACCTGCAGCTTTTTCTGTGGGTTTCCCCATTGTGGCCTTGACCCCTTTGCTCATATTATCACCCCTCCCTCTGTTTGACAGGACTCTGGGAGCTTGGCCAGTGGTTAGTTGTGAATCTCTGCATCTGTATCAGTTACTGGTTAAAGGTTCTATGATGACAATTGAGGTAGTCATCAATCTGCTTAGAGGAGAAGGCTGGTTCAGGTACCCTCTTCATTATTGCTTAGAGTTTTATCTGGGGTCATCCTTGTGGGTTCCTGGGAATATTCCTAGTGCCAGGTTTCTCACTAACCCCATAATGGCTCCCTCTATCAAGACATCTCTTTCCTTGCTCGCCCTCTCTGTCCTTCCCCCAACTGGACCATCCTGTTCCCTCATGTTCTCCTCCCCCCGCCCCTCCCTCCTCCTCCCTCTCCTTTCACCCTCCACCCTCTCTCCCATGTTCCCAATTTGCTTAGGAGCTCTTGTCTATTTCCCCTTCCTAGGCGGATCCATGTAGAAATGACATATTTTGTTAAGTAGAAAACAGTGGAGTTCCCTTAGGATACAGGCCCCCTTTCCTTTCAATTAGGCTGGCTCACTATGGTGATAATTTATCACTTATTTTCCATTGGTAGTTTAAGCACAGAATCAAAGACATTGAGAATAAAAGCTATCTCCCAGTGACATGTGAACTCACATTTTCTCCTCTTCTCTCACCTCCTTGCCCCTGCAATGAATGCTTTCTCTGACTTATTTTTAGGACCGAAGATTCAATGATGAGATTGACAAGCTAACTGGATACAAGACAAAATCCCTATTGTGCATGCCTATCCGGAGCAGTGACGGTGAGATTATCGGTGTAGCCCAAGCAATAAATAAGATTCCTGAGGGTGCTCCATTTACGGAGGATGACGAAAAAGTAAGATTTCACGCCTTGCATGACTTGGACTTTCCATTTTGCTCTCTGATTGCTGCTCTCACTGAAAGGGCGGGAATTATGTGAATAGTTCTTCGATTAGCCTATTCACAGATCAAAGAGCTTTTTCGAGGTTGTACACGATGTAATGGGAGGCTTTTTTAGCATTTCATAGAATGTGGTATAATTGAAAATAATCACTGCACTTTTTAAAAGCCTGCTTTTCATTCCAAGTCCCAGTGGTCTTCTTTCTACTGCCTGGTCTTTATTTTCCTTGTAAGTAAGCCTTTTAATTGTGAACAGCTCCATGACCATACATGACCCAAGGGAGGGCAGAGAATATGGGAAGATTACTGCCGTTCCAAAGCTCAGCGTTTGCTTTTGTCATTCTATAACTGTAACAGAGAGTTGTTTTCTTACTTCGTATAGAAACACCTCAACAGAACGAGTGCTATTTAATTGTTATTGTAAATCACTAGTAAAGGGGGGCATCGTTTTTGTTTCTGAAGAACAGGTGGCTTTTGTAGAAGTGACATAGTTTTTATTCTGAAACTTTAAGTTCCTTTAGTAATTTATTGCAAGCCATGGGGAGAAAGGCTCTTTAGAGAGCGAAGGTTCTGGCTTTGAGACGTTTACCTTCCTACTGAATAGAAACTGGTAGAAGTGAAAGCAAATCTCATGATCAGTTTGTTTATGTTTGTTGACTGCTATATTGCTATTGATTGAAAACTTTATAACTTAACCTTCTGGATGAAGTTCTGCCGTTTGCTAATTGTTAATATTGCATGACTGCACATGTGCTGGTACAGAGGGTCAACATGAAAGATGGTTATTAGGAAACAAGATTTTTAGATGAAGTGGGACATTCACTGAGGTCATTTATGCAGTGAAATCAAAAGAGTTCCAATCCTTGTAAGGGTTTGTAAACTCACAGAATTTTGGATGACTTCTTACTAATTCTGCATATGAAGCACATGGGTTGGGATCATAGGAGGCAAGTGGATAAATCCCACATGTTTTGTGCCATCCAGGAGTTACCAGAAGTAGGAGGCAGCAAGATGTTCTAGAGCATGCTGACTGTAGAAGAGAGAGGGGCTCAAAGGGCCATCTTGGAAGAGATAACATTTCATCTCCAAGTCAAGAATAGGTTTCAATTGACAGACCAAGAGAGACAGAGAAAGTGTTTGGAAGTCAGTTTGCAATAAATGGTGGTGACTTCAAAGACTTATGGCTGTTCAGTGCCAAGAAAAGGTGATTCTGAGGGCTCAGCCCTAAACATGACCTATACCACCCCTTCTGAGACTCGGGGGACCTTGTGGACGAGGGGCAGGAAGAATAGAATAACTAGAAGATGGGGAGAAGTATTATGAAATGCTGTAGACAGGACACAGTCACTGTAATAAAGAATTCACAGCAGTTGTAGTTACATACACTTGGCCTGAATGAGGCTGGGCCTGTAAATGTGGTTAGAGAAGTACCCATAAAGCCTGCCCCTCACTGCGGAACTATTGACCAGATAGATTCTTAGAGAGGGAAAGTATTTGTTTTCACTTGTGTTATCCTCTGTTAAGCCCAGCAGGCTCCAACGGAGAGCTCTAAATCCATGGTGCTATAATTCTCAATCCATGGCAACACAAATAGCCCTGGTTAGACTCAGTGAGTCAGAAAACAGATACAAATATGAGAAAGACATTTGTAGGGGAAATGGGGGAGTAGATGGGTAGGATATACATTAAAGAGAGTAAGGGGTCAGACTAATCAGAATGCATTATAACCCTGTATGAAATTGCAAAACAAAAATTAACAATAAAACCCACAATATGTAGTGTAGACCATTTTGGTCAGTATAACACTTGTTCATGTAATGTCTAAGCAAAAAAAAAAAAAAAAAAAAAAAAAAAAAAATCTCGTAGAAAGATTTTACTTTTTACTTATTTTGCATCTGTGTGTTTATGTGGGAATATATTCATGTGAGTTCAGGTGCCTATAGATACCAGAAGAGGGTGTTGGATCTTCTGGAACTGGAGTTTCAGGTGGTTGTAAGCTGTCGGGTGTGGATGCTGTGGGACAAACCAGGGTCCTCTGGAAAAGCAGTACATCTTTTAAATTCTAAACTATCTCTCCAGTCCCAATAAAATATTTATTTTGATTTTTTAACCATAGATGGCAAAATCCTGGGCTAATATGTCTCCTTTCAAAGTTTAGATAGGATTTGGAGTTTGTGCCTTTTAGAATGTAACAACTTAAAAGCCCCTGTGTGGTCTGCCCTCTGCCCTGCCCCCTTCATTTAGGGATCCTACTAGAGCTTTTCTTTGAACCATCTGTGTTATGATTGCTTTCTGGACTCCTCCTGGGGGATTTATACTTACATGATAGGGCCCCATTAAGTTCCAAATGATTTAAAGGAAGGTTTGCTCCAGGCTTTGTACCTTTCTTGAATAGCATCAATGTTTAACTCTATTAAAAACTGGGTTTTCATTGAGCCCAGCTTGGCTGATGACAAGCAGGCACATTTGGAAAGTTAGAGAATCTTCCTCAGCTCCCTTACCTGTCAGTTGTAGTATCTCCCACTATGTGGCACGAGAATTAAATAAGATCATAATAGCAAACTCTCTGTAAAGTATAAGAAGCTGGGTAAGTGTAAGCTAAAATTTCTGCATCTAACATTTCATAGAGGCTTAACTTTTTCTTTTGTGTTTGTCACTTATTCTCAGGCAGATTATCTCATAGAGTCAATCCTATTTTATTGTTCCCAAATTTCTGTTTTTCTCTTCTGAAATTGTTTATTATGCCCATAGTATAATTTTATCCTCCAGTGTGTGTGTGTGTGTGTGTGTGTGTGTGTGTGTGTGTGTGTGTGTGTGTATATATATATATATATATATATATATATATATATATATATATATAGTATTTTTACTGCTTTGGAGTTTTATCGGTCAGAGCAGGTAGAGTATGTTCATCCAGGTGACACAGTTATAGGATACTTTATGTCCACAATTTCTAGACTGAGTTGGTTTCTTCTTGCAAGGATTCTATGTATTGTGCATCCTAGACATGGTTAGGAAAAAAAATAGAAAATAAATTCTAGAAGTGTTTGATGGAAAAGAATGCAGTCTTGCTGCCTCTGCCAAAGGAAGAAAGGCAATGGGGTTTCACAGCTGCCCAAGTGATATTTACAGTGATATTTGCATTGAAATTACTTCCTCTATGTCTTGGGCACGTACCTGTTACAAGCACTTAACCTGCCAGCCTGGTCCCACAGCTATGTCAGCCCCAAATAACACACAGAGACGCTGTATTAATTATAATGCTATTGGCCAATGTCTACAGCTTCTTATTGGCTAGCTGTGTCTTAATTATTAACCCATAATTACTAATAATTGTATTTCTACATGGTCTTTTCTTACTAAGAATGCCAGACTCACTTGGTCTCTCCTCCTGAGATCACCTTGAGACTCCATCCTGTTTCCCAGAATCTTCCACCTCCCCTAGTCCCACCTATCTTGCTTCCTTATTGGTTCTTTATTCATTAACCAATAAGAGAAAGATATTGACAGAATGACATCTCCCATCAGGTTCCACTATGTCATAGGGCCAGAGGGGGATTCCATGAGAGGGCACAAGGAAACTAGCTGGAAGAGAGCTTAACTCACAGGGGTCCTCATGAACACCCCCCACACACACACACACACACTGACAGCAGAGCTACAGCAGGGCTTAGTGAAACATTACCTTTATGTAACTTGTCTCTAAGTTTCTATTCATTGGAACTTCCAGGTTGCTAAGTTTGTAGAGGTGACAGGAGGAAGGTGCATCCAGAGGGAAAAGAAGCTGAGCCCTTCCTCAAGCCATCTCCTCTGTGAGCTGGCCGCCCTTTAGCAGCACAAGGAGTGGTTCCATATACAAATAGGAAAAGACCAGACCATTCATGATGATGTAGGCCAAAGCCACCCTCATCAGTGGCCAGCCTGAGGTTGGGGGACCAGGAAGACCCTGCCTTTTGCCAACTCATGACCAATAAGAAGCTCCCTGAGCTATCGTCTAAGGCCAAGGTGATACATTATCTGTCCTTTTGTAGCCTCATGCCAAAATTTCAAATCAAAGCATATCTAACTCTCCTCCTATTTTCTCTGTAGAATGTGCTGATCCTGCCTCTTTGAGAATATGAGTTCCAAGTGGTGGTGGCTGACTTCCTTGTAGCATGGTCTCAGTCGATTGCTCACTCATTTTATTAAACCATAGTTGTGACTAATGCCGTCTATGTGCGAGGTTCTCTTCTGTCACGGTGGTCTCATTATGAATGAGTTCATGGTTTTCTTGTATCACTGTTAATAAATATACTGTTCTTATTTCATTCTTTAAGATTGTCTTTATATTAGTTTGTGTTCTGCTTCTTATTTTATTTTTGAAATAAAGTCTCACTATGCTGCCTTAGCTGGCCTGAAGTTGTTATATTGACCGGGCTGCTTTCAAATTTGTGGCAAACCTACCATGTCTGCCTCCCGAATGTGTGCCACCTTGAATAGCCTTGCATTCTATTTATATAATTTAAACATAAAAGTGTTTCTCCCATGTTTGTACACCTGTGAGTGTATTCTGTATTTTCCGTTTGGAATGATTATAAAGTTTTCTAATTTTCTTTTTTTCTACATAATCTTGTTTCTCTGTCCTTAATTCGGGCTGTTTCCACCTGTAAACTAATTCATTCTGGGTCATGGTACATTCACTACATGTGTGTATGTGTGTGTCACACTACATAATATGATTTGTATGTCTTGTCTTGAAGTTCTGGTTTTTGAAGACTATAAGTTACTTAGGTGTGTGAGCAAGTTGAATAGAGTCTTGAACATGTTTCCTTTTGCTCTCCTATCATTCCTTGTGGTGAACTCCAAAGACAGAAATTTACTGTCAGAAGCTTTCAAAAACTCTGAACTCATTTACAGTGGTGTCAGTATTAGACAAACCCATGGTGTCAGTGCCCTGCCGACTTTGATCAATTC